AAAAGTATGTTAATCTCAAGTTCAGCTAGAAGCCCGGCTGTTGCGACATTACTATTTGCTTTTTGTATTACGTTTAAAGTTAGTAGCGATTGTAGATGCAACTGTTTGCAGCTGGGAACTACATCCCACAATAGTGCATTGAATTTATTTACGTTATTTAATTTAGTGTTTCTTCTTTTTTTAAAAAAAGAAAGAAAACTATGTTAGTCTATCGAAATATAAAAAAATATTGTACGTGAAATCCTTTGGGATTTATTAGATTTTGAAGTTGAATCCAAAGAAGCACGAGTCGAAAAACGCCAACAAATTTAAACTTCTCATACTAACATATCGCGTCCAATCGTTAAGTTTATTTTTTGTCATTGATAGAACGCTCCCTCAGAAGGATATTCAAAATTTCGATTCGACTAATATCGATTATTAAATCTGATAAAATACATATAAAAATGATTAGAGTGGAGCAGAGATATAATGACAAGTAGGTATATTATTCTCTCATCCAACTTTACTAGTAATATCTAATCCTATATTTTGGAGGTATTTGCTTTAGTATGTGTTATCTAACTCGATATAATGTCCTACGACCTCTATCACGAGTCCCTTCCTCAAGCTTGCAGATCGACCATCACGGTCTCCTGACCCACTTCCCGAGGTTGACGACCGTGTGACGTCACGATCTCTTCCCTACCCCGCCCCGCAGCGCGCAGCACGTCACCCCCGCCCCGGGGGTGTGTACCGGACCACACCACCACATGATTTTCGTATTTAGAACCGAGTGGACGTGCGCTCATTGTAATCTACATTCTTATAGTTCAAATCAAGTGCTTTACCGTGCTTATAACGTGTGTACGTGGAATGACGATTTTAGGTGAGATCCGAATTTATATAATTTTCTCCAAATCTTATGTAACGTTTGTGACCTTCGAGCTGGAAACATTTGCGATGTATTATATAGAGGTATAGAATATTCCCCGCCCAGAGAATACGTCCTTGAATTTTGATAAGTCTGATTTTAATTTCTAAATGATAATTTTTTTCAACTATTTACCATCACGTTGGCTCGTTTGTTATTCCAATATTTTATTCTAGTCGCAGAATACTAATATTACCTATTTTTGTCTACATTTGGAGCTCATTAATACAAAATTAAAATGGACGTATACTCACTAAACTAATATACAAATATAAAACTGCAAGAATACATGTTACAATATAGCCTATAAATACTGACATAATCATTTCAGCCAATATTCGTTCAACGCATAAATACTACTTTTCTTTGTTATCAAATTTCAATATTCAATCTTCTGTGGCTGTTTCAATGAATTTTCCATCTCATTCAGTGCATTTGAATTTAGAGAAAGGCATCTATCGTGTGACGTCACAGGAGTTCATGGCCTAGATATAGGTTATGTGAACCTCGATTATATTGCAAAATTATTACCGTTCTATCATCGTGTTCACGAGCCCATAAAAGGATATTGTATAAAAGCTGCAAAGTGTTTTTTTTTTTCCTTTAAACTTAATATATACTAAGCTATCCTGTTAATTCTAATTTATATTATTTTCTGAAATTGGAATTAATTTATATCTGAAAATATTACATCAAGAAATTGATGGTCAAATAACATTATTTTTATTATATTAAGCAACCGTGTCCATATGTAAATTATATATTTTTTTTATTTACATTCATTAATTTAAAAATAACTTGTGATAGTTGTATTACCTTACATTATGCCACAATGTTAATAATGATCAGGTCAAGATCATTATATACCGGTTTTCAATTATTTCTTATTGATATTTTAGTAAAACTAGTTCATCCAATACTAGTGTTTAAATTATCCGTCAAATCATTCTATTTATTTCTATCAATGAATAGGAAAAATGCTTCTCACTGTATAATTTTTTAATCAATGGAAAGTAAATAGAATATGCTTGATTTACATTATTCTTAAAACAAACAAATACGTTCAAGCTACACATGTGATGATATATTAGTGAAATAGAAATTTAAGAAGCATTCTTATTGCTATAATTATTATTTAACCTCATTTTGTAAAACTTTACTTTCTTCAAATTATTGCAGGAATTTCCCTGAACCCTTTAGTTAAATTGGGAAGAAGGGTGATGCATTTAAGATGAATGATATAATTATGGAAGTTTCCCCCGAAGTCGTACAAACTACATTATTATTGTATGTCAACTCGCGCTTGACGTTTTCCCTAAATAATTCACAAAACTATTTCAGAGCCATCCCACATTATAGAAGTTTTATTACATAGACCCATAGTTTGTGTATACTTGAGTTAATACTCAAATCCCGAAGTACAGACGGTACCCAGTTCTAAGTTCTAGTTACATTTGCGATAAGATACTCAAATCGGTAGAAAATTTAACATACTCGTACTGCATAAACCTCTAAAGGAGCAAAACAAAGCATCGTAGATAAATTTTCAGAAGCCTCCCCCTCTCTTTTCATCTCAAAGGTACTCCGACGGTCAACGAAATATGTTCCGAGAAACTCATTGATACATTGCTTACATTTTATCATCCCATCTCTCACCTCCCATCGATTTATGTCTGTGAAAAACGTTTAGAAACGTTTTTATTATTTCTTGTAACGTGTTCCCTTCATCTCATAACGTTTGCTCAAGACGGAGCAGATATATGTGCTATTAACAAAATTATAAACAAATTAAATTGTAGTAACAGATCGCATATAGTACAGTTTTAGAGTAGTTTCCTAAAAACAAACTGTAGAATGAACTTTTTGGCAAGGTTTGCTCTGTAAAAAGGTTTCTAACGTTAAAACTCCAACTTGCACACGTAACCACAACTCGGATGTTAGCAAGTTAAGCAGTCTAAGCTACAGTTATGGTTTACTGTCGGATAGACGAGATTTATTCTTTCCACATTCATGGCATAAAAAACTGTTTACAATGTGAACGTGTAAATTTTATTAATGCTTTGATCTGTCCAAGCCGTTTACCTTATATCGCTTTACATTTAGTACATAAGTCTATTGTTTGTCATCGATTGAACTAACACTATGTCTCAAAATAACTCACTAGTAGAGACTTCGTCCCACGTATTAAATTGCAAGGTATTTACTTCCAAGAATGCTGTTAATCTATAATTAATTCATATCGCCTCCTGACAGTTGACGTGGGGCCGTTTGGTTTTAATAACTACTGGCTCTTTAAGTTTACAAGTTGCCTCTGAATTGATAATTGCCGCTTTCATTCATGACGGGGTCACAGAGGATATACATGTGTAATAGAATGAGTAAGGATCGCAAGACCGCTAACTTTGGCATAGCAAGAAATAAGGTGATCCACTTAACGATCTTTTTTTTTATACAACTTAGAATGGCAAACAAGCTAACGGCCCACATGATGGCAAGTGGTAACCGTCGCCTATAGATATAAGCAGTGTCATGGACATAACAGAGTATACTGTTTCACCCATTATACCCCCATGCGTTGCCATTCCTGAGGACTCAGATGTTATTATACCTCTGTATCCTGTAAATTCACGTCATATCCCATCCTTCAAACCGAAACACAGCCATGCAAACACAACTGCTTCACGGTTGAAACACGAATGAGACAGAGGTACTCAAGCAATCGACTTTTGTACAAAATCTCCCTCTGGTCTCCTTTTATATAAAAAAAAAATCCGGTCAAGTGCGAATTGAATTCGCGCAACGACGATTTCGTAGAAAATCATCAAGTTAAATTTTTTTTTCTTTTTGTAAAATAACTACAAATTCACGGTTTTCGGATTTTTTCCTCTATTTGTGCTACATGATGATTGATTTAGGTGATTGTATAGAGTTGCTTACTTATGAATAATAAATAAACGCGATCATTAAACAATTAGCAGACATTGTATAACCACAGTACTCAAAGATTCCAATTAACAAAGCACGACTTGACTACATTAGTTCTTCACACGTACAAAACACTTAGAACTGTTTTACTAATTAAACCGTAGAATAAACTATAAATCCATATGGTCCAAAATGGGGAACCTGGAACCTTAGAACCAGAGGGAGACTTTGTACAAAAGTTGATTGCTTGGGTACCTCTGTCCCCTTCGTGTTTCAACCGTGAAGCAGTTGTGTTTGCATGGCTGTGTTTCGGTTTTAAGGGTGAGATATGGCGTGAATTTACTGGGTACGGAGGAATAACACCTGAGTCCTCAGGAATGGCAACGCATGGGGGTATCATGGGCGAAACAGTATACTCTGTTATGTCTGTCGTACTGCTCATGTCTATAGGCGACGGTTACCACTTTCCATCAAGTGGGCTGTCAGCTTGTTTACCATTCTAAGTTGTATAAAAAAAAAAAGATCATATAGATACACTCGTATCTTCACACAAATGCTTCGAGAAAAGCGGCTCAACTTTTTTATACAATTTTGCGTGATAAATCGTTATGAGTTATTTCTTTACAACTTCTATATTTGTCTTATAATTTTTGCATTTTCTTTAATGCGTAAAAACTCATTTTATTTATTAAATAATTAAATATAGATACGTCAAGATACATTATGTGCGCAAATATATAGAACACTGAAAAAAAAAACGAGTCACCTAATTTGACAATTAACTGACAAAAAGTTGACCCGTTTTTGTGGCTTGAAGCTCTATCTATTAAATCTAAGCCTGGAACGTATTGCTTATATTACACCAAGAATCAACTGAGAAGATGGTACCTATCTTTTCGATTCTAACTGATGAACATGTCAATGCGGGGAAGAGAAATTGTTAATAATGGCCCCATTGCTACAAATATACCCAACCAGGTCGACCTCCACATGGCCCCCCTGGAAACCATCGTACTGAATTCTAATTCACGATGGGCTAACTGATCTGTCTTCCATCTCACCTATCACCCCTCACTGGTGTCCTGCCAGAGTATACCGTTAGCGCAAGTGGTGTTACCATTCCATTATCACCCATTAAAAAAACATGTCGGTGCTGTTTCAGATCCGTCGCGGTGCGTGATGCGCGCGCCTGCGTGTTCGGCGGGCGCGGCGCTGGCGTCTGTACCGCGCTGGTCGCAAACTCAGCCGCCCGCGGACTACGCGTCGCGCGACACTCCGTCGCACCAGCAGCCGGTCTACCCGTTCGATGACGACATCAACCAGCGGCTGGCCATATGGTCTGTACACTCCCTTAGCAACGGTTTATATCATCATCATCTCAGCCATTATTCGCCGGGTGGGGAAGGGACTGTTAGTAATGTGGGCTACTAGTCCCATTGCTAGCAATATACCGTGTCAGGTCAACCTCCACGTAGTCACACCTGGAAACTAATTGGCTGCTAATTGGGCTGCTCTTTCATTTTCACGTATCATCCCTCACTGGTGCCCCGTCGGTGTATACCGGTAGCGCAGGCGGGGTTACCATTCCATTATCATTTATTAAAAAAAAAAGTTATTATTCGCCACTGCTGTAATGTAAATTGAACTCTATTTTCCGCTTTAAACCTCTCATTTGGACCATTGTTCGTATGAGTCACGGCTCACAGTCAGCCCAGAAGCACAGAAGCTTCCTGGGATCGTCACAAGCCTCGCAGAGCGACCTCACTTCGCCACTGCTGAATATAGGAGTCCCCCATATATTGCCATAAAGAACGATCCTAAACCACCTGCATGCACTAACTCCCTGCAATGCATTATATGCTGCCTTAAAAACAATCCTTAGTATTTATCTACGTAACTATTAAAATTTCTGATGTATTTAGTGCTCGCTTTATTGGTAATTCCTGCAAGATCTCATACTAGGTACTCTAAGTCTCTCAGCTACCGAAAGAATATGCAGTTGGGGGCATTCCTTCATTTACTCTACTTTGCTTCCGCTTCAATTCTCGCGATAATAACGATTTGGAACAGCGAGACGTTGATCAATCTTTTTAAAAAACTGTAGAACTCAGATTCTTATAGAAAACTATCTATTGTATAAATTATAATTGCAAATATGTAGTTTTTTTTTACATGCTTATTGTAAACAACCATACGCCCAGTATAATTGTGCTTACCTGTATCGGGCCACGGGCAAGCATATAGTCTGGTACAGACTAGATCAGAAAAAGATTAGCTGAAGTAGCTGTATTTATGTAGTGTTGGTTTGAAGGTTGGATTATGGTAGATCAATTAAAGGGTACCGAGACGTAATACCTTAGTCCTCATAAATGTTAACGCATTAGAGGTGCCATGGTCGTTACAGTGTATTCTGTAATGTCCAAGATGCTATTGATATCTATATGCGACTATAACTACCATACCATTTACCATTCCATATATCATAAAAACAATGCTTAAATATTAACGTAGTAGTAAATGTCACTTTATATTTTTATGTTGAGCCTCCTGCGGAATTGACAGATGAATCATATCGTAAATTTCTACCAAATTCATCATAAGGGACTAACTGACCTAACATCACCCTTCACACCTACACTAATCTTCAATTTTAAAAATAAAATAGTAACTACCGGATATGTTCTCCTTGTGACAGAGTACGACACCACTTTTTTTCATTTCTATGATATTGTAAGAAACACTACTTGAAAATAAGTATAGAAGAAATAAAGGAACAGATAATTTATTAATATTTTTTACGTATATGTCTTCATTAATTAGTACTGCAAACAAAACTATACACCAAGTCAGGCCAGCGTACAGACGTCATCCGTTTATGTGGTAGCAACAACTGTGGCTCGCGCCGTTTTTAAACGATTTTCAAGAACTTCTTTATTTTCCATTGAAAGTGTCCCGCGATTGATCACGATCTCACGCTTGCATTTTCTTATAACGTTACTAATTGTTTTAATGACTCATTCAATTAACATTTATATTTTTTAAGTTTTAAATTTTGCATGCCTAATTACAGCGAGATCTGAGGACTTATACCTATTGTTCACCTCTATATACTTACCATGTTTTTTGTAAATAAATGTTCATTTAATCGTTCGCTTGATGGAACGCGATGATGTGGTCTAAGATGGAGTTCGCAAGCCCAGGAATAGCCAATGCCAAATGCACATTTTCCTTGAATTGGTGCAGATTATATTTGGATGTAAAAAAATTAAGCAGTTCATTTTCTCAATTCCCAGAGGGAGACTTTGTACAAAAGTCGTTTGCTTGGGTACCTCTGTCCTATTCTTATTCCAACCGTGAAGCAGTTTGCGTGGCTGTGTTTCGGTTTGAAGGGTGGGATATGGCGTAATTTACAGGGTACAGAGGAATAACATCTGAGTTCTCAGGAATAGCAATGCATGGGGTTATGTCCATACTACTGCTCATATCTATAGGCGACGTTTAACATTTTCGCTCAGGTTGGCCGTCATCTTGTATGCCATTCTAAGTTGAATAAAAAAAATTCATTTGCAGTCGATAGGATTTAATTCAGTGTCGGGCCCTTTTTATTTTTGTGACAATTGACCGCTACCGCTTTTGTGCTGGCTTGCTATTATGCCTTTTCCTCCTAATTCAATCCTGTTAAATATTTTACATCATACTACTTGTGGTGCCATCTAGTGAGCTACTGATTAATTTTCACTTGTATCTCATCAACTCGACACGCAGCAACCGGAGCGCCCTCTGGAAATAAAAGCGAAACAGAACTTCTTAAAGAAGCAACCATTGATGTAGGATATCTACGAAATATCTCGTTTGTCGTTGTGTGTGTTAATTTTTTTTTTATAGATGATAATGGAATGGTAACCACGCCTGCGCTAACGGTATACGCTAGCGGGGCACCAGGTAGGGATGATAGGTGAGAATGAAAAGGCAGGTCAGTTCGCCCATCCTGATGAATACATCTGGCATTCAGCATGATGGTTGCCAGAGGAAACCACGTGGAGGTCGACCTGACAAGGTATAGTGCTAGCAATAGGACTGGTAGTCCACATTACTTTTAATCCCTCCCCCTCTTGTGTTAACGTTTATAATTGCTTTGCTTTGAAGTGCTCAAATGTGTTATTACTGAAGATTCCAATTTGTATCCCGTTTTTTAATATTATTTACAGGCAAGGTGACATCACGTCGCTGGAGGTGGATGCCATTACAAACACGACGGACGAGACGCTGACCGAGTGCAATGCGGTCAGCGAGCGCATCATGCAGGTGGCGGGCCCGGAGTTGAAGGAGGAGATTATCACCAGGGGACTTGGTAGGGCATTTTGTTGCTACTAGTTTTTTTTTTTTTTTTTATACAACTTAGAATGGCAAACAAGCTGACCGCCCACCTGATGGAAAGTGGTAACCGTCGCCTATAGACATGAGCAGCACCATGGACATAACAGAGTATGACATAACTGTTTCGCCCACGACACCCCCCATGCGTTGTCATTCCTGAGGACTTAGGTGTTATTCCTCTGTACCCAGTAAATTCACGCCATATCCCACCCTTCAAGCCGAAACACAGTCATGCAAACACAACTGCTTCACGGTTGGAACTCGAATGGGACAGAGTTACCCAAGCAATCGACTTTTGTACAAAGTCTTGGTAAAGTACTAGTTTTTACTCTCGCCTACGTTCGCATGACTGGAATTTGTTGACATTTATATAGGACCGAGGGTTTTCAAAATGAAATTTACTTGCTCCGTATTACTATGTATTTAAAACTTTTTTTTAAATTATTCAAAAATATAACACCGTTAACCATCTATCTAGAACACCGTAGCAAGAATTAATGTAATCTTTTCAATCTGTCAATCATACTCGTCACTTACTTACGAATGAGGAAGTCCTGAAAAGAGTGAACGAGGAAAGAACATTAATTAAAATAATAGAGAATAGAAGAGGCAAAATGCTGGGCCACGTTATACGACATGACGATTTTTATAAAAGCATTGTTGAAGGAAAAATAGAGGGCAAAAGAGGAAGAGGAAGACCGAGGAATAAGTACGTGGGACAGATAAAAGAAACACTAGGTGTCATGTCGTATAGGGAGATCAAGGATATGGCCTGGAATAGAGCTGGCTGGAAGAAGATGCATGAATTAGTTGCACCGACAAGAGGAAACTATTAAATGAAAAAAAAAAATCTTACTCGTGCACATTCGTTCATTCTCGTTCATTATACGTTCCGTTACAAACAAATATTGAATACATTAAAAATATTTGCTACATTTATATAAATATAAAATACTACACGACACGACCCGACCCTACGGCGATGTCGACATGCGGTCAAAAGGTACCTATCTCGTACGCGTTAGAGCTTATTTTGCTTTATCAATTTGATTTCACACGACACACCATCGGTGTCTTTGTTTTAATGAATGAAATACGCTCGTAGTAATACGTTACGTCTAATGTGTTACTAATTGTTTCTCACGCTTTCGAGTTGGTGAATTTTTTTTTTTGATTATTCGAAAAAAAAAACCATGTTATTTTTTTTTTATTTTACTTTTGGAATCGATAGTACTACTGAGCCCAATTTTTTTCGCTGCGGATAATCAACCAGTTAAATTTCACGCTGTATAATTTAAGATTGTTACCCAAAAAAAAATTACCTACTTCAATTATGGCAAACCAGTTATTTTGATTTATAAACTAAAAACTACTTCAACCAAATGACCAATGTGTATATATATTTTTTTATATAAAAAAAGGATTTTTCAAATCGGTTCCTAATAATGGAGTTAAAAATAACAAACAATAAAAAATACAATAAATAAGAATTTCCTTCTTTTCGAAATTGGTTGAAAAAACCCCTTAATAAAAATTCCAAATATTGTGTATACAAAATTTCATGATGGTTGATTGAACTGTTAGGTGCTGTTGGCTGCTTACCTAGAAGTAACAAACAAACAAACATTCGATCACATTATAATATTAGTAAAAACAATATTATATATTTCATCAAAATACTTATCTATAAAATATTGTATAATTTGCCTTCTAACAAACATAATGGGATCCCACTTAAGCATATACCAGCGGAATAAAGAGGAAAAAATATTTTTATTCATGTAAACTTAGATTTAGGCATTTTTGAATATTTTTTTTATACCACTTAGGTGGCAAACAAGCATACAGCCCACTTGATGGTAAGTGGTTACCGTAGCCTATGAACACCTGCAATACCAGAGGTATTACGCGTACATTGCCGACCCTGAAGAAACCTCTTTGCCCCACTTTTGAAGAACCCCATGCTGTTGTATCTTGGGAAAACCTCATTCTATAGTCATTTTTTCATTACCGCCCATTCTGAACGCAATTTCAGCCAAGAAGAACGGGCAAGAAACTCAGCTGTTGCTCTTTTCAAAAAGTTAAACTACAAAAATAACATTGTTTATTTATTTTATTTAAACTTTAATGCACAGTATAATTTTATGCACATTTGGCGGACTTAACACTGGACGGTGTTCTATACCAATCAACCATTGGGCGAATCGAGAAATAAATAGGCGGTGCATTATTGAATAGAGGGAAAATAATTTTTTTACTACATGCGGCACTGTATATAATACCTGCACGCCTAGTTAAGCTTTGAGTGTCATACATGGGATGTCAGTGTAAAGTTAAAGAATATAAAGCTGCCAGCATTCAAATATGACACCTGTGTCAATAATATTACGATTGAAATACTGTAATTGTTATTTTTACTTGATATTTACGTCTAGAGCACAAGTGGCCGTATTGTATTAATATAAAAACAAAGCAGAAGATACGCTAAATATTCCGTGTTTTTTTTTATTTTATACAACTTAGAATGGCAAGCAAGCTGACGGCCCTGGCGGACCTGATGAAAAGTGGTAACCGTCGCCTATGGAAATGAGCAGTACCATGGACATAACAGAGTATACTGTTTCACTCATGATACACCCCATGCGTTGCCATTCCTGAGGACTTCGGTGTTATTCCTCTGTACCCAGTAAATTCACACCATGTCCCACCCTTCAAATCGAAACACAACCATGCAAACACAACTGCTTCACGGTTGAAACTCGAATGGGACAGAGGTACCCAAGCAATCGACTTTTAACTAATTATAAATAATTTAGATAAATATCACATGTTATATTAGCCCATTAAAAGTCTACTGGTGAACATAGTCTCCCCAATAAAAGAGGTTTTGCTAGTAATTGCCACGCTTAGTAGGCGGGTTGGCAGTTTGGCTTTTAGTGATGTTTTAAGAGGGGCGCTGCTGCCCATCCCTTCACCATAAGTTCCCTTATTCACCTCTTACGACACCCACGGAAAAGGAAGGGCTGGCCTATTCCATGCCGGCACCTACACGGCTAACACATACAATTCTTATTAATATTATAAATGTGAAAGTTTTTACAAATTGATGAATGTTTGTTACTCTTTCACGCAAAATCTTTTGAACGGGTTTGAATGAAATTTGGCACACGGGTAGTTTATGTGCTCTTTTACTTAACGTGTTTTTTAACTTGTCTTCGAAATTGTTTTAATGCAATTATTACATTGCTGTTTTTTTTTTTTTGTATTTAATAGTATTTGACTATAAAAAAATATTATTATTTTATATTATGACATAATGTTATAGATTACATGATTTTAAATTATAAAAAAAAAGACCAATAAATTCGAAATTTTCCGGAAAGAAATTCCCATTGGTTTTCAGTTCAGAATAATGCTCCGAATTCACTGTTTCAATTATTGCCAAACTGTCTCTTACACCCTGTATATTGATTTACGCAAGCGGAGCCGCAGGATACATATAACTAATAAAAATATAATACTCATTAGAGTCATTGTACTCAAACAAATATAAAATTGTTTATGACAAAATACTGATGTGTTGATCACAATTGTCGGATTTTTTTTTAAGTGGAACACAATCTCAATTTCCCTTTACAGAATGTCGGACGGGCGAGGTCGTGGTGACGCCGGGGTTCAAGCTAAGATGTCGCCACGTCATACACACGGTCAGCCCAAAATACGTCGCTAAGTATCATACAGCTGCCGAGACTTCGCTACAGAACTGTTATAAGTATGTATTAATTTTATATTAGTTTTTTTTTTATACATGATAATGAGATGAGAATGGTAACCCCACCCGCGCTATCGGTATATACTAGCGGGTCACCAGTGAGGGATGATAGGTGACGTTGAAAGCAGGTCAGTTAGCCCATCGTAACGAATTTGACTATAAATTAGTCATGATTGTTTCTCAGGGGGAACTGTGTGGAGGTCGACCTGACAGGATATATTGCTAGCACTAGAACTGGTACCTCGCATTACTCCGATCCCGATGGGTCGACGTGCAACGGCTTAGCTGACCTCATATGCGAAAATGAGGTACCCAATGGGTGCTATCGCTCCCTGATGGCTGTTTGAACCAGTTGTCGTTGCAGGAACGTGCTGCACAAGGCGGCGGAGCTGGGTGCGCGGTCGTTGGCGCTCTGTGTCATCAACACGCCTCGCAGGAACTTCCCGCCTGATCTGGCCGCGCATATTGCCTTACGTAAGTAACCTGAGGACCTACCATGAAATGTTTTCCGAAATTTCGAGTCATTTCGAATCACGAATTTCATGTTAAAATTACATGATAAAAATATTAAAATATTGTTCCTTTGGACTTTTATGGTAGGATGTGTTACAAACGAAATGTTAAGCTTCATTTACTGGACCGATTTTGGTGTGAAAGAAAACACGAAATTGAATTCGGAATTTCATTTCGTGGTTAACCCCCTGCCTTACATCATATATATACAGTGTCTCCATACAAATGCTTCGAGACAAGCGGCGGTAATTTTTTCTGCGTACAACTTTACATGATAAAGAATTATGAGTGATTTTTTTATACTACTTAGAATGGCAAACAAGCTGACGGCCCACCTGATTGAAAGTGGTAATCGTCGCCTATAGACATGAGCAGTACCATGGACATAACAGAGTATACTGTTTCGCCCATGATACCCCCCATGCGTTGCCATTTCTGAGGACTCAGGTGTTATTCCTCTGTACCCAGTAAATTCACGCCATATCTCACCCTTCAAACCGAAACACAGCCATGCAAACACAACTGCTTCACGGTTGAAACACGAATGGGACAGAGGTACCCAAGCAATCGACTTTTGTACAGTCTCCCTCTTTATAACTTCTATATTTATTTTGTTTTATCATTTTTGTATCTTATTAACCACTTAAGCATCTCGAACGAGACCCTCTCGCGCATCAAATGTGTTCCGTTTTGCGCTATCCCTAGTACCTCTCGCCACTTAAAAATATTATGTTCATATTCTTATCTGGAGCGGTACCTTCTCGCTCATTTGTATTTCATAGAGCATGATGTATGTTTATTGTATGCTCGTTCTAATTTAATGCGTGCGCCAATACGCCAGTTGATCTCATTTCACAGAAAAACTTGCGTATGAAGTAGTTAGTACGTAATGACTTGTTTATTGAGTATAAAAGGATTAAAATGAAAGGTTGAGGAATGAGAGTGGTCGTATTGGTCGACGAGGCGATCGCGATCGCTAGTCGCTTGTGCACAGGAGGTCCCTAGGCGTGGGACGGCCGTCCGGCGGACGCGCGTGCAGCGGCGCGAGGCCCCTCAGGTGGGGATGGTGTCCGCCGTCGGCACGGGCGGACATGTTGCTCGCCGTGCCGACGACGAACTCGACCGATGGGACCCCTGAGTTGTGGAAATAAAACTAACAGTGTGTGTGTTGTGCGCAGGCGCAGTGCGGCGCCACCTGTCGCTGTGCGCGCGGCCGCGGCTGGTGGTGCTGGCGGCCGCGTGCGGGCCCGACGCCGCGCCGCTGCGTGCGCGCGCGCCGCTCTACTTCCCGCGCCAGCCCGCGCACCACGACCACGACCAGCGCATGCGCATCATACACAACCCGCACGACACCGGTCAGTACGCGCCTCACACCACTGTTGCATTATTATACTAGCGGCTTGTTTGCCCTCTTAAAGTAGTACATAGAGTATCCTATGCACTAAGTTAGCATGTAACCTACCCGTGTATTAAATGCATTCAAATCAGTTTGGTAGTTTTTGCATAAAAAAAAGTAACAAACATCCATCCATCGTTACGAAATTATGTATTTATATTGTAAATTTATTTATTAATATACGAAAACTTATAAAAAAAAAACAAATTAATATATACTTATAATAAATCTGTAGAGAGGTCAATTCTGTACATGAAATATATTTCCAAAATAACTATCAGGCGGTGATTAGTGATCGATACTGATGCCAAAAATGCAATCAGTAAAATTTTTGTCTGCCTATCTGTGTGTTCGTTATAGAAACAAAAACCACTCGACGGATTTTAACGAAACTTGGTACAATTATTCTTCATACTCCTGGGCAGGTTATAGTATACTTTTCATCACGCTACGATCAATAGGAGCAGAACAGTGAAGGGAAATGTTGGGAAAACGGGAGAAGTTACTCCATTTTTAAGTTTCCGTCGCGTGCGCAGCCTTAATGGCCACTTTTTAAAATGTAAAAGTGTCCACCCGTGCGACGCCGGGACGAGCCGCTAGTTATAAATAAAATCTACTTGTATAGTTTTACCTACCAAATATATTTCATCATTTTATTCACTAATCAGATATTTTATACGGAATAGACAAAGCGCAGATATCGCGTGACTCATCTATATGATGCCATTTAGTCGGGTACTTGCTGATTCTGATAACGTTTAATGTACGAGGTTTGTCCGGAAAGTACGTATAAAAGTTTTTTAAAAATTTTATTTTACAATTATTCAGGTAAATCAATTTTATCCCCTTCAAAGTACTCCCCCTGTGACATAATGCACTTGTGCCAACGCCGTTTCCACTGTGAGAAGGCTCCTTGAAAGTCCTCTGGTTGTAGGTTTCTCAGCTGCCCCGTCGTAGCTTTTTTTATCTCATTTATGTCCCCCAAATGCCGCCCCCGAAGTACCAATTTGGTTTTTGGGAACAAGAAGAAGTCACACGGGGCCAAATCCGGCGAATAGGGGGGTGTTCGGTCACCGTAATGGAATTTTTACTCAAAAACTCACGGACAACAAGAGAGGTGTGGGCAGGGGCATTGTCGTGGTGAAGAATCCAACGCCCCTCTCGCGCCAATTCTGGACGAACTCGTGCCACACGAGCTTTGAGGCGTCTGAGCACATCGACGTAGAATTTTCCATCAACTGTCTGGCCTGGAGGGACGAATTCTTGATGGACAATCCCCCGAACATCGAAAAAAACAATCAACATTGTCTTGACATTTGAGCGGGATTTTCTTGATTTTTTTGTTCGTGGTTCCCCGGATGTCTTCCACTCTTTGCTTTGGGATTTTAATTCGACATCAAATTCGTAGAACCAAGACTCATCTCCAGTGATGACTCGGTTCAAAAAGTCACCATTCTCTTCGGCTTCCAACCAGTCCTCACAGCAAGCAACTCTTCGTGATTTTTGATCCGGGGACAAAAGCTTGGGAACGATCTTGGCGCAAATTTTTTTCATTTGAAGTTCGTTTCTTAGAATTTCGTGGACCACGGTTTTGCCCAAATTAAGCTCTTCAGCCACCTGTCTGACCGTTAAACGACGGTCCCCATTAACACAAGTTCGAATTCTTTCCACGTTTTCGTCGGAATGTGAAGTGGAAGGACATCCTGAACGTGGGTCATCTTAAACGCTTTCTCGGCCCTCTCTGAATCTTTTTAGCCACTTGTGGACGGTTGGTTCCTTCACAGCATCATCCCCATAAACTGTTCTGAGATCGGCAAAAATTTCACGGCCATTCTTGCCGAGTTTCGAGAGAAACTTGATTACGACGCGCTGCTCTTCAACGGAAGCGGGCTCCATGCCGACGGGGTTTCGTTAAGAGGTAACTTCACAGATGGCGTGACAAGCCAGTTCGCACCGCACGGCGGTCAGACCAGAACTGAAGCATTGTTAGGGACATAAGGAAGGGGTCCTGCGCTTACCTGTCCTCCCCACTCCTCTTTCTCGCATTCCAGAACACTTTTATACGAACTTTCCGGACAGACCTCGTACCCTTATACAAATATATTGTGCGTATTATCGATCGACGATTACAGTACAATTGCGACCATCAATTGAACTAATAATAAAAATCTTATTGTCATTCCGTTATCATTAATATATCGATAGATTATTCATTATTTAACCATAAATACATTGAGAGACTAATTGCGCATAAATTCACAATATAAGTGCGTCAAACAATAATCTAATTTTGATTGTTCACTTTTTTATAATGTTCTCCATTGAAAGTAATTCAAAATTTATTCTGTCAATAAAATACCTGTATATATCTTATAGGACCAATTAAAATCTAGTTTAGACTCCAGTTACCCGCAAATTTAACAATGTCTATTTAATATTTAATTAAATATTATTATATATTTCGTATTAAATATTTAATTTATGTTTTCTCCTAGATTGGGTGGAACGAACAGGTTAGATAGAACGAAAACAAATTATTTTCTCACCGGAAAAGCACGACAGCCATATAATTAACGATTTTAATTTTATTTATTTATTTATTTATTTATTGGAAAACCAACAGCTTACAATTTATAGCTTAAAACAATAACAACTTATCCATATAAAAAGCCAATAACAGGTTTTCACTGACTTAGCGATATAAATTTGTCGTGGCTAGAATAATTATAAAATTTAAAAGGAAATAAAAATAAAAAACTAAACTTTACGACGTACTGTGCTCCGGTGCTTCTTAATAGGTAGTTTTCATACGCTTGTGGCGTTGACCTTACACAGCTGATTCGGCGCGTCGCGATAAGATTTTAATATTACATTGCTGTTTTTTTTTTTTTTTGTATTTCATAGTATTTCGCTATGATTTTTTTTTATAATGACATAGTGTTAAGATGAAAATACACCAGAAGTTAGATCTTCAGGTAGACGCCTTTGTAAAGCGCTTTCGATGTAGCAGTTTTTGCATGACACGGGAATAAACATACAAATAAAGAAACATTCACTGTATTATAAAGAGAAATATTTGATTTTATTGGTATTCGTTTATAATTGATTGATAAACTCATAAACTATTTAGTTGAATTAAATAATTGCTTTTACCTATAGTATTAAGCTACATTATCAATGAGTAATATAGGATAATATATATATATATATATATATATATATATATATATATATATATATATATATATATATACATATATATATATATATATTATCTAAGCAAAAACTTGGGTTGGTCGCCTGGTAGCGACTGCTTTCAACATAATAATTATTGTGATGAATTATTTATACCGTATGTTTAATTAATTAATGAAATATATTATTTATGCATCATTTATGTAAGTATGTATCTATATAATACAATTTTATCTTTAGCTGTTAAATCGGTTACACAGGTTACACTCTGGGTTTGTTGTACGCGTCCATGTAGCCTAACTTCAGGCTGCAGCTAAAAATCAGTGCTTTGCTTTAAAGCAAAACCATCACTGAGCTGTACCCTATTTGGGTCACTGCGACACACATGGCGAAACCATATTTTCATATTTTATCTTTTGTTGTATATTTTAAAAAGTGTTAATAATTTGATTGTATAAACTCATTTGTAAATTTACGTGTATCATAAATGGCTCAAATAAAAAGTTTATCTATCTATCTCTTTATTATAATGTTGTAAAACATTAGATGTGCTTTGCACGCTTAAATAACTTTTCTTCATAATAAAAAAACTGCTTATAAGATGAATATGCACTTTAATTGAAGGACGCCATGACAGAGAACCTAAATTACATTTTTCAATGTTGCGAATCTTAGGTACAATGATTTATTTATTTATTTATAGGATTACCAACATAAGATACAGCGAAATATTTCAATACAATACACTGATAGATTAGATCTAACTGTTCTTACATTTATAGACAACCACATCATGTCTTGTGTTTGATAAACATTCAAATAGAATTAAATTATTAAATGTCATTATATAAGTAAAAAAATATTAACAATATGAATAATAATATAATATAAATAATGGAAATTGTATTTAAATTATTATAAATTATAAATAAATATAATGAAATATTTTCTTGCAATGACTTCCATAAGTGCATTTACTCACTAATGATGTCATTAAATGACGAATGTCGAACCCGTTGCACTGCGGTACATCACTAATAGGCTTATCAATGATAAGTATAACAGGTTATCGTGTATTGACGCATTAGTATTATCGATACAACTCACCAAAACACTTGTGTGAACACTCTTCTGTTATTGTTACTAGTGAATTGTTAAACGAAATGGATTTGGAGCCCAGGACTGTTGGTTTCCAAATGAAAGCCAGACCACACGGTTTGTTTTTTTTTTTTTAACTAAAATATAGAAGTATAAGTTTGACTGCCACAAGAATAGATTTTGCCTAGTATGGGGTCATTGTCATATTGTATCACAGGCTACTTTTGTTTAAACACAATATAGTTTATTATATTATACTAGCTGACCCTGCAAACGTTGTTTTGCCATATTCATTATTTTTAGAAATTATTTTTTTTAGTCCAATCAAAAATAGCTAACACTATAAGTGTGTTAGGATGTAATTAAATGATCGTAAATGGGTAAAAAATTGAAGCTGTATGTATTTTTCAATGCTTAGTCATAATAAAATAAAATAAAATGGTAAAAAAAAATAAAAAATATATATTTAAGGGTAGGTCATCCTTATCATTGAGGGGTATGAAAAATAGATGTTGACCGATTCTCAGACCTACTGAATATGCACACAAAATTTCATAAAAATCGGTAGTGCCGTTTCGGAGGAGTTTGGTAACAAACACCGTGACACGAGAATTTTATATATTAGACTAGCCGACCCCGTAAACGTTGTTTTACCACTTATTGCGA